CAATAATCCTTCTTTACACCTAGCCTAGATTGCCTTGCCTAGATTTTCTTTGATGAGAACCACCGAGATTTTTAATGAATGTTAAGAGCTAGTTGACTGGAAGTTAGATCTTAGTGCATAGATTTCTGCATGGCGGATTAACGGACTAGTTATGCCTATATTGCTAGTGAGAATTTTCTAGGCTATTCCCGATTGATGCATACTGATTGATATTGGTCTAGAAGTTTGGTCTCTGAGATTTTGTTTAGTTCCTGCGTTTTCAAACCTCTCACCGAGATTTAGCCTTTGTTTTGTTTGAGGACAACCAAAAGACTAAGTCTGGGGGAGTTGATAACACCGGATTTTGACCATTTTTATGGATCATTTTAATATCTTTTACAGGTGTTGTTACTCTATTTTCAAAGGTTTTCAAAGGATTTTTATGTTTCCGGATTTTAAAAGACTTTTCAGGTAATTTGGGATAAAGAGGCACAAAATGGAACAAAAATACTCTTTTGGATAAATGCAGACCGTCAGAACTCTCATGGGAAGACGAAGACCTTCTCACCGTCTGATCACCCTCAAAATTGGACAACTTATAGAAGAATCAACCAGCTTTCAAATGCACTTGGTTTGGAGACATTCCAACGGTTGGATCTCAAGATATTTCATTAGCCCCGGAGCCACTCGAAGTCGGCCAGCAGCTCACGCGACCGCGGCCAACAAGCTATTTGCCGCGGTCAGAAGCTTCCCGACCGCGGCCAACAAGCCAATTGCCGCGGTCACAACACTCCCGACCGCGGCATTCAAGCTCCGACTTAAAGCCCACTTATCTGAAGCCCAAAGTCATTCCCAGCCTCAATTCCGGAACCCTAGAGACCATGGAGTATTGGAGACTATAAATACATGTCATTTAGGTTGTTTTTAGAGAGAACCCTTCATACTTTACAGAAACCCTTTTCCTTTAGCCGTTTTTATGAGATTTTTGTAGAAGATTGTTCAAGTCCGAGTTCTTCAATAGAGAAGCTTTCTTTATCTCTTTTCTTTACTGTTTTTCATTACTTTTATTAAAACCAATGATTATGTCGAACTCAGCCATGTCTGAGTAGATCCCGAGTTGGGCTTAGGGTTCCCGAAAGGGGCTCTCATAATCGATTAAGACATTTAGGTTTATAGATCTGGGATTTCGACCTGTTCTCTGTTTATTCTTGTTCTTATTGCATGTATGCTTGATTGATCACCTAGTATCTGATCTAGATAGTTAGTGTTGCGAAAGTTTTCATTAAGTATCAGCCCTAGAATTAAACAGGCGATTTTTCCGTAGGAGTGGAAACCTACCTGCGGCGAGATCGTGAGTATTGACGAGTCTTGTGCAGCTCTTGCGTTCTCTCCCTTCCAGGGCCAGAGTGGAAACCTACTGGTCAGGGTTGCGAGAAACAGTTGGTTATGATCACGACAGTGACGTAGTCATACCGCCGTACTCTAGCTCTAGAACCCATATACTGTTATCCGTCAATCCCAATCTATCTTCACTAATGTTAAAACCGATTATGATCCCTTAGAGTTCCCAAAAGCTCAGCGTTTTTAACCATAGTTTACAATTCCATCAATTTTTACTTGCTTTCTTAGACCTGCATTTCAATTTCCTTAGTTCATTATTTACTTGCCTTATTTACTTTTCATGCGATATCTTACTTGCTTTATTAGTCTTTCATTCGATATTTGCCTATTCTAATTGCATTCCATTTGATTTTCTTACCTGCTTTTTAGGATAGATTTATTTGCTTTCTTTTGTTTTAGTTTAATTCGCAAGAAAAACAACCAACCTTTAAAACCAATTTAGTCTAGACATAAAGTTAAAAACCGTAGAAGAATACCAGGCACACAAATCTCTGTGGATTCGATCCCCAAATACTACAACTGATTAGCTGTGCACTTGCGGCTTTCATTTGTTTTGTTAAGGGTAAAACTTGTTCCCTCACGTAGTTGACACGAGCACGCATCAAACGTCATGGAGATAAATTTGCGAGTAGAAGCAGAAAATGTGTATTTTTTGGATACCCTTATGCAAAGAAGGGATGGAACTTATTTGACTTGGAGACACATGTAATCTTTGTTTCTCGGGATGTCACTTTTATTGAGGAACGATTCCCATATTTGGAGCTAAAAAATGCACAGGTGGATGAGCCTTCTAATTCTAATCAAATGAGGTTATATGTGGATGATAATGTTGGATTTGACGATATAGAACCTTCCTTGACAAGGGAAATTATACAACCTCTCACAAGAGATACAATGACACAGACTCAGGTTGTGTCAGACAAGGTTGCAGAAGAAGAAAGACAGACTATAGGAAACGAAATACGCGATATCTTAGGAATTACAGCGCCACAAACTGAACCTGCATCGGTTACACAGTCTGAGATTGTGCAACCTGCTCTAGTGACAGAACCTGCATCGGTTACATAGTCTGAGAATTTGCAGCCTGCTTTAGTAACAGAACCTGCATCGGTGACACAGGCTGAAACTGTGCAACAGCCTGCATCAACAAAAACTTTGGGACGGGGAATGAGAAAGAAAGAATCTTCTGTCAAGCTACGCGACTATGTGTGCAATACAACATTTACAATGAATACTTCCACTGTGAGTCAGGAGTTGAGTAATGATTATGGTATTGAAAATTATGTGAATTGTGAAAGGTTCTCTGTGTCACACAAGGCATTTCTGTGTAGTATAACTGAAGGAGTTGTGCCGAAAAGTTTTGCTGAAGCCATGAAGGATCCGCGATGGAGAGAAGCTATGAGACTCGAGATTGAGGCCCAAGAACGAAATCAAACATGGTTGGTTGAACAATTACCATCAGGTAAGCATGTGATTGAGTGTAAATGGGTTTATACAATTAAGTATAATGCAGATGGCTCTTTTGAAAGGTATAAGGCGCGACTCGTGGCATGTGGCAATCGTCAAAAAGAAGGGATTGATTATTCTGATACATTTGCTCTTGTAGCAAAGATGAGCACAGTTCGATTGGTTCTTCAAGTTGCCGCTGGGAAAAATTGGGAGCTACATCAGATGGATGTGCACAATGCGTTTCTTCATGGAGATTTGGATGAAGAGGTCTTTATGAGGGTACCTCAGGGTTTTGGTGCTTCTAAGAAGGTTATAGTATGTCGTTTGCGCAAGTCGCTGTATGGTTTGAAACAAGCTCCACGATGTTGGTTCGCGAAACTTTTGAAGGCACTTTCGGGGTACGGTTTTACACAGAGTAAGGCTGATTACTCTCTTTTCTCATTAGTTCGTGATAAAGTTCACTTGCACGTTCTAATGTATGTGGATGATCTTGTGGTGACAGGAAGCTCTCCTGAGGTGATACAAAAGTTTAAAACATATTGAAGCAATTGATTTCATATGAAGGATTTGGGAAAATGGAAATATTTTCTTGGATTGGAAGTTGCAAGAAATGCAGAGGGTATATACTTATCACAGAGAAAGTATGCTCTGGATATTATTGCTGATGTCGGTTTGCTTGGTGGTAGGCCTGTAGAGTTTCCAATGGAGCAAAATCATCAGTTGGGAAGGTCGACGACAAAGATTTTGACTGATCCAGAGAAGTATCTGAGACTGGTTGGAAGGTTGATTTACTTGGCTTCGACTAGACCAGATCTTGCCTACTCAGTTCACATCTTATCTCAATTTATGAATGAGCCAAGAGAAGATCATTGGATGGCTGCATTGAGAGTTGTTCGTTACTTGAAAGGGTGCCCGGGAATGGGAATTTTGTTGAAATCTGATTGTCATTTTCATCTTACAGCTTGGTGTGATTCAGATTGGGCTGGATGTCCAATCACGAGGAGATCTTTGAGTGGATGGTTGATACAATTGGGAAATTCTCCTGTGTCATGGAAATCAAAGAAGCAAGATGTTGTATCATGCTCTTCAACTGAAGCAGAGTATCGAGCTATGGTTTTGGCATTGAAGGAGTTGAAGTGGTTAAAGAGTGTGTTGTTAACGATGGGTATTGCACATTCTGGTCCAATGGATTTATATTGTGACAGCCAGTCTGCACTTCATATTGCAGCTAATCCTGTGTTTCATGAGAGAATGAAGCATGTGGAGATTGATTGTCATTTCATTCGAGACGATATACAGGCTGGAATTGTTCAGACCCAACATGTTTCCACTACTCAATAGTTGGCGGATATCTTCACTAAAGCACTTGGAGGACGTCCGTTCAAAGAAATTTTGTGCAAGTTGGGCATTCGAGATCTCCATGCTCCAACTTGAGGGAGGATATTAAGAGATATTAGGAGATATTAGGCTTATTGGGCCTTGTATAGTTAGTTATTAGAATTATTAGAGTAATTTGTTCCACATTGCTAGTTTCTAACTTAAGATTGACTAATATATTTGTATATATATGTGACTTTAGGCTGATGAATAAATCAGTTCCGCAAATTACTTTGACAAGAAGAGTGAATCCACGAGCACATCATCAACATCATCTCGAGCTCACTTGCAATTTGAGAGCAATAACCTTCCCTTGCTCCCTAAGTTAACCTAAAAGCTCTCTTTAACATACAAGTTGTATTCTCTCTGTAAAGAATCAAGAAGTTACCAAAGAAATTTCTTAAGAATTAATTTGTATGTAAGCCAGGGTCATGGCTGAGGTTGTTTTCGCAGCTATATTAATCAGGTAGTGTTTTAAGAGGGTCGATCGAAGTGGATATATTAATTAGGTCTTCGTGCGTTTGTTCATAAAAAGCATGTACGTGATCACGTCTGGAATTGAATACATTGGTATTCGTTACCAGGAAACCAGTTTTTTTCTGTTTAGTGACTATTTGAATCTGCGTACCGATTGTGAAACATACGAATATCTAGACTAGCACTTATTAGATTTTGCTTTTTTGGTTATATATGATTCTTAATTTTTTGGATAAGATTGCACAATTCACATTTACCCCTTTTTGCAAAGAGAAGTTTGAAGAACTCAGTGCGATTCTACTGAAATTGAGATATATTCTCTCTGTATACACTTTGTGCTACAGGCAAAAAAGAACGACATAAAAAAATTGAAGTATCTAAGGCTATAGACATAAGTTGTGCTCAGATCTAAAATCTCCTATCTAATTTTATGAAGGTTTATGGGAGTTTAGCTGCTTTCTCTAAAAGTGTTTACTCTTCCTTCAGGTTCTAGAGGATCAATCCTGATTATTACACTCTCTGTTGGTGCTGCTGCTGTCACTTGACTGGAGTCACCAATGATCTTTTGGCATGTCTCAACAAGACAGTGTCTGCATTTCGGACAAGTCATATGTTGTTGAAGCCACTTGTCAATGCAATGAACATGGAACCCGTGGTTGCACTTAGGGAGCAGCCTGAGCTTTTCACCGGAAACAAAATCCGACAAACAGATGACGCACTCTTCGCCAATCCCCGGCAGGTTCAAATCAGCTGAGTAACTAACGATCGGGAACATTCTAAGAGCTTTCTTCTTGATTCCTTTGCTTGGTGAACTGTTTGAAAGGCTAGAGATAGGCTCAGAGATCATGAAACTTGTAGATTGTCTGAATGCACAACGAATGATGTAATGTAACCCGAGGCAGCAGATGACTCCACAGATGAGTACTGAGAGAAGCATCAAGACATTCCCACTGAGGTTGTTCTCATGGGTTATGAGAGGAGATGGTGTCATCGCAAGGGGTCGTTGAGTGCTGTGGTCAAATGGGTTGTGTAGAAGCAGCTTTCTAGAGACAAAACCGCTGAGGAGTTGTTCTTGGAAAGCTTGAGCTGAAGAAGGTAACTCATTTACAGACATTTTTTTTACTCTGTATTAAAGCTTTGGAACCAAGCTCTTTTCGCTCTGCTTTGTTTTGCTTTAGTTTGTGTTATTGCTTCTTAAATTCTTGTGGAATTCAATGTGGTCTTATATATAGATTGGAATGATTACTGATTAGTATTACTGAGTGGGGACTGAGAATTCTTTTATAATTGGAGACTAATAAGATTTGTTTAAGAAAGTGGCATTTTCTTCAATTTTTCAAATGAGATTTGAGAGGATTTGGGACCCAGAAGAGCTTATCCAATTTCAGGGAATCCTTGAGTGCTGATTGTGCCTCTGGGCCATAGCTCCTCCAACCACAAGATGATTGTGTAGGGAGGGACTATCACTTTTCCAACATTGGGTATTATAATAATTTCTTCTTGTCTCACTTTAAATTAGAGAACTTTGTTTTATCATGTTGGTCTTGTGTTGATTCTTGATAAGCTGGATTTATTTTTATAATTTTTTCACATTTTTTTTATCAAGAGGAGGAGGAAGATTTTGTTGTATCTTCCTCACAATTTAATGCTTTGCCCACAGTATGCAGTGTTGTAAAGCAGTCTTTGTGCTTTAGCTTATCTTTATATGTTCTTTCCATGTGTCTGTGTTGTGTTGTTTAATAATTCACTTTACTTTAAAACATAATCAATATTACTTTTTTATTGGGATATTTAAGTGGCAATCGATTTTAAAAGTTAAATTCTTTTTATAAAATGCTAGATCCTTTTATTGTTTTGATTTATTACTACACTTAACTAGATAAATATAAATTTCTTGTTCTTATTTTTTTCCCAAATTTTAGTAAATATCTATACTATTAAAAGAGAGATACACTTTATGTCTAAACAAACAAAAAAAAATCATATTATGGTATAATTTTCTGGATAATTTAGTGTAAGATTAACAAAAAAAATTAATTTAAATTTAATTTCGAATATTAAAATATTAATTTAAATTATTTTGGATTTTCATAAGTTAGACTAATTTATCCTATTTTTTTTTTTAAACATTTGAGGCTAACCTCCTTGAATCATCCTAATAATATATGGAGTATTTGACGTAAAAAAAAAAAACATTTAATTTTTTTGTACCATGGATTAAAATTTAGTAATGTTTTTAAAATTTAAAATTTTTGTTTTCTGGACAGAGATTTTTTCCTTATTTTCATTTTATAAGAAATAGGGTACTATATAAAATCATAAGACCTTTTTGGCCTTTCCTATGTTTACTAAACTATTTTCACTTTACGGGTAATATTTTCAAAATCTATTTTGATATTTCCAGATAGCTAGATGCCCAAATGTCTGCATATTACTATCAGAAGACCTTTTTGGCTTTTTTTAATGTAAACTATTTTCTCCTTACAGGTAATATTTGCAAAATCTGTTTTGATATTCCCTGGTATCTAAATGTCTGCATATAAATGGTTCTGTAATCTGTTGTTTATTTATATATACTTCTTTTTCCTGGTCGGCGTTTGTTTATTTGTTTACCTTTCAAAAAGAGAGGAACGTTATTCATTTGGATTTGAACTTTGTCGCTTTCTTCTCCTAAATTTCCCCAGCCTTAGTATCAAGTGCCATGTTTCGTAGCTTCTAATGCCTTGTATTTGACATATTATAATAATTTAAAAGATCCAATCCAACTTAGAGCTAAATTTTGCAAAAAAATGGTAATCTCTTTGCATGAAATACTAAGGCTTTGACTAAATTGTCATATATCGATTGGTCAAGTTAAAATGAACTATTTCAAAACTAGTGGAACAAAGGAGCATAATCCAGTGATATATGTGTTTCTTAGGATTGTTTTGAAGTTCTGAATAAATCAATGAGTATATGTATAAATTTATGTAAGAAAGAAGTATATTTTAAATGCATACATATTTTGAAAACACGTTTGAAAATTTCGAAAAACAAATGTGGCAATTTTCACACCATTATGTATATACTTTCGCAGTGTTTGATTTTTTACGATGAGAATAATCTACACCAAGCATAAAATCTTATGTCACTTAGTGGAAGTCGGAATTATGCTTTCTTCGCTTTTAACCAAGATTTGTATCTGAAACACACCAAACTTTGATTACTATATGCAAGTATGCATACCCTTTTTCAATTAAAAATGATTTTAAAGATTTAATGATTATTGAATAAGAGACTTGGAGATAGTGTTTAAGAATTCTGTGGACGCGAATTAGCCCACCAAAAGAGAACAAATGTGGAATCCTTCTTCTTTTTCACCCTCCTTTGCACTTTTTTTATTTGCACTTTCAATTATTATAATTTGTGATAATGTAGTAAAGCCCTAAGAAATATTTAACTTCTAAATTGATGCGCCGTGACAAGCTAAATCCTAGGATTTATTACCTACTTATTAGTAGAGAATCGTCATAAAGATTTTGCGTCTCACATAACCACATGTTTTGTTAAGAACTATAACTATACTTGACACACTTACATGTACGAAACGATCAACTTGTTGAAAAAATAAAAATTCTTTTCAAAAGAACATGACCACGCACCTATAATAATCCTTGATCTTGTTTTCTATGTTTTTCCTACAAAACTTGAACTTTTTCGTTTCCCTGATTAACCATGTTTATTCGAAGAAGTTTCTTTTATTTCCTTTTCTGAGATCTCCTCATTTCTTTAAATTTCTAACAACAACAAAAATTATTTCGCATATGGAGTGGTTTGTTTTGGCACCAAATAATATTTCTAGATCAATCAGTGTATAAGATATCTTAATCTGTGAGGTTTATCGCTAAGTTTATTTGTTTCAATATAATAAAAACTCAAAGCCCATCCCTACACTTTCGGGAGTCTAATCCGTATATAAAAAACGTGCTCACTTTACACAAGAAAAATAACAATTACAGGCTTTACAGCAATGGAAATTGTTCTTACCATAGATATGTTCACAATAATAATAAAAAAAAAGAAGTCCCCTAACCAAAACATAGAGAATATATCTATATGAACAAACTTAACTCCATACACAAAGATGAATACAAAAACTTATAACTTCATGAACCAATGTATTTTGTATAAGGGGCCTAAGGGCGTTGCCTTTTTTCTTACACAGTCTTGGTTCAAACTCAATCACACGATTGAAAAAACTTTAGTATATAATCTTGTCGTATTTGATCCAGAATTCCATTAGGCTTTTCTTGAGCTTTTGCAGGAGATCGGTCATGTACACTGTCATATAAAACATCTGTCTTAATCTCCACTTTTCTTTTAGGCACTTTGTAAAAAGGACATCATAGCAATGATTAGATATTAAAGATGTGGTGAGAAAGATTTCAGAAATATGAGTACTTTCTTCAACTAGCTTTATGTTCTTGTCCTAAACTTAGGATATAATCTCATATATTAAAAAGAGGTAGAGCGGCCTTATGTTTTTTTTTTTCTCGAATACGATCAAAAGTATTAATTTCAGGACTCGCCCTATTCTTTACACTTGAGTATTCTCTCAAGTTTATTTAATACACTTGTCACTTACTCTTTCTTGTCATACCAAAACCCTTTGTGCAATGTATGTCTATACTATAGCTTGTTACTACCGTTGGATCATGGATGTATGATCTGTTTGAGGCACTGAGCTCTTAAACCTTTTCTCTGCTTGCTAGTATCTTGAAAGACTATTCCAACCAGTGGCTAATTGATTCCCTAAACGCCAAATTAAAATCTTCAGACCTCCATATGACTAAGAGACTGATGGATATTGCTACGAGGATAATTTCTTCTTTACTTGTGATTTCTGTTTACCAATTCAGAAAACGTTTTAAGGTTCTATTTTTTTTATTTCCTTTTCATAGTGTTTGTATAGGTTTACTTAGGTGAAGTCTTGGGTGTGAGAGGCATCCAAGCTAGAGAGAGTTTTGGATGTTTCTATCGGATTAGGCCGAGGGAGAAAACACATCAAGAGAGTTTTACTCTTGTTACGTTATTGTTCATTTTTTTATTATTATAATAATTTTTTGGTTTTGATTTTGAATTCGATTCTATCTCTAGATACTAAGATATAAACCGCTAAGAATGGAACACAATTTGGTTATATATATGATGTTGCTGTAGTTTTAAGATTTAAAAGAATCCGAGATTATAAAACTACTAGAATCAAATTTATTGTTATGAAAAAAACATACATAATAACATAATTATCCATAAATAATAAGTTTTTATAAGAAAATAAAATAAAACACTGATACTTAGTCTATGATACTGTTTTACAGATATGCACATTATCTGTAACCAATATTTGTAATGAACATGATAGAGTGAATAACAAGTCCCATGCTCGTCCTTGCCTTCCTTTTTCTCCATCCATGTCACTGATTATTCTATGACAATCATGAATTTTCTTAGAAACCATATAATCTCCTACATGAACGCTAACATAATCAAAGAGAAGTCCAGATCACTTACTAGTTGAAATTGTAGCCATTGGATGAAAACTCTTTTGGATCATACGGTGCATTTGGATACATGAGCCCAAAATCTGTTATGCCAGAAGCTTGTCCAGGTTCTTGACCACTCATCACGTAATCCAATTGCTCCGGAAGCTGATACTGCTGTTGTGGCTGCTGCTGCTGCTGCTGGAGATGGTCCTGGTCAAAATAGGGCAAAGGAGGCATAGGAGCGGTCATGAACTCGTTGCTGTTCACTGACAAGTTATAACCATTTGGATATTGATTCTCCTGGAGCGGGTAAACGACTTGATCGTTCATAAGAGACGATGATGCAGCGTGCATAGGAGCAGACACGAACTGGTTGTTGTTCACTGACAAGTTATAACCATTTGGATATTGATTCTCCTGGAGCGGGTAAATGACTTGATCGTTGATAAGAGACGATGGTGCAGCGTGCATAGGAGCGGACACGAACTGGTTGTTGTTCACTGTCAAGTTATGACCACTTGGATATTGATTCTCCTGGAGCGGGTACTCGGCTTGACCGTTGATAAGAGACGATGGTGCAGCGTGCATAGGAGCGGACACGAACTGGTTGTTGTTCACTGTCAAGTTATGACCACTTGGATATTGATTCTCCTGGAGCGGGTACTCGGCTTGACCGTTGATAAGAGACGATGGTGCAGCGTGCATAGGAGCGGACACGAACTGGTTGTTGTTCACTGTCAAGTTATGACCACTTGGATATTGATTCTCCTGGAGCGGGTACTCGGCTTGACCGTTGATAAGAGACGATGGTGCAGCGTGCATAGGAGCGGACACGAACTGGTTGTTGTTCACTGTCAAGTTATGACCACTTGGATATTGATACTCCTGGAGCGGGTAAATGACTTGATCGTTGATAAGAGACGATGTTGCAGTGTGCATAGGAGCGGACACGAACTCGTTGTTGTTCACTGTCATGTTGTAACCATTTGGAGATTGATTCTCCTGGAGCGGGTAAACGGGCGGACCATTCATTAGAGACGATGTTGCAGTGTGCATGGGAGCGGACACGAACTCGTTGTTGTTCACTGTCATGTTGTAACCATTTTGATGTTGATTCTCCTGGAGCGGGTAAACGGCTGGACCATTCATTAGAGACGATGTTGCAGTGTGCATAGGAGAAGACACGAACTGGTTGTTGTTCACTGTCATGCTGTAACCATTTTGATGTTGATTCTCCTGGAGCGGGTAAACGTCTCGACCGTTCATAAGAGACGATGTAGCACTGTGCATAGGAGCGGTCATGAACTGGCTGCTGTTCACTGTCAAGTTGTAACCATTTGGATATTGATTCTCCTGGAGCGGGTAAACGGCTTGACCGTTCATGAGAGACGATGTTGCAGAGTGCATAGGAGCGGTCATGAACTGGCTGTTGTTCACTGTCAAGTTATAACCATTTGGTTGTGGATTCTCCTGGAGCGGGAAAATGGCTTGACCGTTCATGAGAGACGATGTTGCAGTGTGCATATGAGTGGACACGAACTGGTTGTTGTTCACTGCCATGTTGTAACCATTTGGATATTGATTCTCCTGGACCAGGTAGACGGCTTGACCGCTCATGAGAGACGATGTTGCATTGTGCATAGGAGCGGACACGAACTGGTTGTTGTTCACTGTCATGTTGTAACCATTTTGATATTGATTCTCCTGGAGCGGGTAGAAGGCTTGACCGTTCATAAGAGCCGATGTTCCAGTGTGAACAATGTTCGCACCGAGGAGAGACATAGGTTGATATGGAGGAGACCAATCATCCTCTTCCATCTGTTGAGGAATTTTCTCTTCCTCAATACTGATACGATATTTCTGTTCAACAACACAATCAATATAAAATTCTGTGTTATTGATATGTCCAAAATTATAATTTAATGGGTTTTTATATTTGTTGTCACACAAGAAACAATAATGGTTTTTTTTTTTTTGGTATTTACCTGAAGATGACTAGAGATATTGCTTCTAGTGAGTCCAGTGATGCCCATCTCTTTCAAACATTTGAGAAGTAACTTTGGATTAGACTCTGCGTTTGCAATCAAAACATGATTAGAAAAAGTAAAGATAATTAAGATGCTGAAAAATTATAGAGATTATGACTTATTGTTAAATTACTTCTAGGACCACCAAGCAAGTCAATGGCTTTAAGAAACTTCTCTTGAATTTCTCCAGTCCACACCACCCGCGGTTTCCTCACTTTTTTCTTACCCATGTCTTGGTTTGTTGTCTTGGACTCGTCGCTGTCTTGGTCTAAACCATCACTCTGAACCAGACCTGACCCAAGTTCTCCAGTCTGTGCCATCCCCGGATTCTCTTCTATCTTATCGATGCTTTGTTCACTGTTATCTTGGTTGACCATGGTCATGGAATCATCTTTGTCTTGCTTCGAACCGTCGTCATGACTCTGAACTAGATCTACATGAACCGGTGCTGGGATTAAAACGGTTTTAGACATCATCCTCTGGCGTAGAATGTGTTGCCATATGTTGGCTAAGACCTGTTCTACAACCGGTTTCACAGCAAAGTAACAAGCACCGTTCATCGTTGCCTCCAGCACCGTATCTACTTGATCATCATCAGACATAACTACATAAAAACGAAATAAATAAATTATTATTTTTAATTGAAAATAAAATTGGTTTTAATATATAGATTCAAAAGTAAATAAGAAAATAAAATAAAATAAATCGATTTACATACTTACGACAGGCAGATCCATCTTTTCACCAATGATTTTGAGGGCTTGGATTCCATTAATTTCAGGCATATGATAATCCCAAATCACGATATTAATCCTATGTTTACAGTTTGTCAAAAACGAGATAGCTTCTTCCGCATCCGCGTAAATCGTCACTGGATAACCAAAAAAAAACACATTATTACAAGCCCTAACCCTAGCCCTAACAAGTCTTTATTTAAACACCTAAAATCACGGGGAGAGATAAAGAAAGAGACGTAGATAAAGAGATACCTTCAAATGCGTATTGTTGCATGATATTTTTCATATTAAGTAAAGTGACGAAATTGCTGTCGACAACAAGAACATTAGTACTCCCCGGGAATTCGTTGGGAAGAGAGTTGAGGCCTTCGATTTCAGAAGATTCTCGCTGCGAAATGCGAGTTTCATCTCCACCTTCAGTCATATTTCCTACCAACATTAAAATTAAATTTGTAGAGATTGAATGAAAATGAGAGAGATTTTATGTATGCTAAAAGATGTTGATCTATATCTTAGGACAAGAAGTTGGATGCATTTTATACTGCAACATTTTTTCTTATCCTCATAAAGTTTGGACATATGTCATAAATTGTTGAAAGAAATGGGTTGTTATATTTAATTGGTCTACATCTTATGTAAGTAAAAATGGAATAAATTTTATGAGAAAATACAATAATAGTCAATACAGCAAAGAAAAGACTGTAATTATTATTAGTTGTCGATCCAACTTTTCCATTTTATAATTTTATGAAAAGTTTCTTTTTATTTTTATTCCTTTTTTGTATATATGACTTGTTGACTGTATTTCTTTTCTTATAGATTTTGTTTTAATTATATTGAAAATGTAAGAAAATTCTAAGAATTCTAATTAATTCAAGAGAATTTTTATATCAAGTACTTAAAAACAAGAAAATTTTGACTACCTTTTAGAGTTTATTTCCAAAACTAAGACTGTCCCATACATTTCAACAAATAAAAAAAAGACTTCCCATACACACTCTCTGTGGAATTAACATTTTTCTTATGACTATTTGCGAAAATAATATTTCTTTCAACAACTTAATCCGTAATGTGTAAATTAGACCAAGATGGACTTGATCCTTTTTTTTGGTCAAAATGGACTTCATCTTATATATGAAGTGATGTGATCACCTAAATTAATTACATAAGTATCGGATTAAGGAACCGTAAATAAGTAGACTAGATAGATCTATGAAGATTTGAAAGAAAAACAAAAAGAAAAAAGCATTCATGTAATAGTTTTACTTTTAACAAGATTCATGAATATGGCCATAAGGTCCCAGGCAAAAGAAGTTAACATGCGATAGGTTAACATATATAAAAACCTTGGGTAGGAAAAAAATCCATAATAGGACATAAATCTGTGAGAAATCAGTAAGATTTTTTTCAGAAATTCCAAAACATTCCTTCTTGTATTGTGTCATAGCACGAGACAGGTGTCTACGCGTGATAGACTAAGAAGTTGGGGTCCTCAAGTTCCCTCTTCTCATGCTTGCTTCTTGTATTGGGCCTCCTCTTCTTCACATCGCTTCTCAACCCTCCTAACTTTGAGGCTGCTATAACTTGGGTCAGATCAGCCTCCTCAAATGCTAAACTAAATCAAATGTCATATGCAAGCCCATTCTTCAAGCATCTCTATACGAAATGTAGAAAGAAAGGAACTCTCGACTACATACCTTGGTATCCAAGCTACGGGTCCAAGTGATTAGAGAGATTCAAGTCACGATTCACAGCAAGCTAGCCAACGTCGATGTTGCTTCTTACTATTAGCCTCAAAATTCGACTTCTGATAATATTTACTTATCAACTTGGTTTGAGTTCATTCAGTTCTCTCATACACCACCTCCTTATAAGATGGTATTGCCTTATGTTTCTCTTTGCTGTTATGATGTTCATTATGCCTTTGTAATAGCTAATGGATTATTCAGAAAGAAAATCTGGGAATTCAAAAGTTGAAATCATTAGTAAATCTTTTAGGTAGAGCGAGCATTTGTAAAAAGAATTAGTTTAAGTTTCCCAAAAGATTACTCATCTTCACAAAGACAATCACTATGCATATCGATTCTATCGGATTTCAAAACGATATGAATAATATCAATGCTGTTGATAAAACGATAAGAGACAATGATTTTCCTACAACCTAAGTTTTTTTTTTTTCATCATTCAAACTTTTTCAATCATTTAGCAATATGACAAACTGTAATCTATTATTCTAGTGAAGTTGGAAAACAATTACAAGGCTCCTGTTCTAAAATATAATATCATACAAGAGACTGAAATTCTTACGTAGATGGAAAGACCCATCATGTTGGCAAATGACAATGTGGAAGAGTTGGAGTGAATGTAATTCTTACGTAATTCTTATCATCATCAACTTTTACCGATTCTTCTGTTAACACTTGGAGCTGTTCCAGAGAAGACTCAGGATGCTCTGGATCTTTGATATCTCTTATATGATCAAAAATCTCGAGCTGATCTATTGGTTCTACTGAATACTCATCGGTATTGCTCTCATTAGTACGATCACGCCGTTTTCTCTTCGGGTAAACAATTGGGTTCTCGTTAACCAACACATAATCCATATTTCTCTCCGCGTGTAAAAGCTTTTCTCGATGTTGTTCAGTGAACGAACGGGTAGAAGATGAGGAGACGATATATAACCTAACAAGAGCTCTGACCTAATTGGGCTCCAACAACCTAAGTTTTCTGCAATGATATCTAGATAAAATATTTGGAGAAAAAATAAACAATGAAATTTTTTTGTCAAACAAAATAAAGAAACGTTTTTTTTCTCTTACACTGATACAAATTATGAGAAATAGTGCAAAGATAATTTTACAATGAACAATCTTACATGTTGTACTATGAACTGTTTGGCGTGGGCGTTATATAGCGGTAGAACCAGTTGCCGAGGCAGCTAAGAATGAGGTGGGTCAAGTGACCCAGATGAAATCTTAAAAAAAAATGTCCATGAAGCTTATAACTGTCCCTCATCGACAAAGTATTATAATTTAGAAGGGGAAGTTAGCACTATAAATAAGAGTTTATCTAAAAATATTAATTTCTAAGTTTCGAACCCCTTCTAAAACTGATATAATTGCACCAAAAGACAACAAGCATATGGCTTCCTCAAATATTTTCACACCTTTGATTTTGTTTTCTATCTATAGATGATGCTTGTTGTTCTTGGACTCACTAATAACTTATCAAAGGCTCTACAAAAAGGAGACCAAGATGAATGCTGTTTCATTGTTGGAATCTACTGAATGACAGTTGCATAAGCTTAGAGTATATGGATGAGATGATTCTGTGGCTAAATTTTATTCTTTTAGTGAGAAAAATAAATCTGAAATGCATACTCTCTAGGATGAGTTTGTTGATTCAAGAAAGCCAAGGAAAAAGACTCGGTATAACCAACTTGCATCATTATAAGGTGGATTTTTTCTACACCGTCTTAAATATGCAACTTCAAGAGTTTAATGATCGTTTTGATGAGGTGAATTCTGAACTACTTGTTTGTATGGCATCCTTAAATCTGATAGATTCTTTCGCCAATTTGACAAGTCAAAGTTGGTGAGATTGGCTGAGCTTTATCCAGATGACTTTAGTTTTGTAGAACGGAGATTACTTGATCATCAACTTGACATCTACCTTGATGATGTACAAAAGGATGATAGGTTTTTACTAACCTAGAAAGTATTGGTGATTTTGCTCGTGTATTGGTGGAGACAAGAAAACATCTTTCTCATCCTTTGGTCTATCGTCTTTTGAAGCTATGTTTGATTCTTATTGTTGCGGCCGCAACCGTCGAAAGGTGTTTTTCTGCAATGAAAATTTTGAAGATGACCTCGCGGCATAATAGCATTGGTGATGAGTTTTTAAGCGATTGTCTAGTTTGTTTTATTGAAAAACAGGTGTTTGAAACTATCACAAATGAAACTGTGATAAAACGATTTCAAAATATGAGTGAGCGTACATTACATTTTTGAGATGTTTATCAATGGTGAATTTTTTTATTTTTATAATGAAACTTAATACATTTTTTATTGTAACCCATGTCAATATTTTTCCTGTCTCCGCCACCGGGTAGAACTGTTCGTTATAAAATCATGATGTAACATCTATCTATATACTTATTTGTGTGTGATTTGCTGAGGTGTCGCGCTCACAGCGAGTTTCACAGTCTTTCGCTTACGTGTCAGCTCCAAAATAATTTTTGGCTGCAAAAAGACCATTTAACCCGATTTTGCGTCTACATGTCATTAATTTTTTGATTGGTTCTTATCTGATGATGTGTAAAAAAGCTTAAAACAAACCGCTCTAAATTACTATGGTTTAATACTTAATTTTATAGTCAATCAAACCGTTTTTAAAATTATATAAAACCAAAATTAAAAAAAAGCCCAATTTTGCAACTACGAGTCATTTTTTATTGGTTCTAATGTGTAAAAAAAAACCTAAAACAAACCGGTCTAAATTACTATAGTTTAATGCTTAAATTTGTAGTCAATCAAACCGTTTTTAAAATTATATAAAACCAAAATAAAAAAAAACAAAAACATTTTTTAAATAAAAACACAAAAATGGAATCTATATATCTTAGTGTTTACCATTTCTTATGTTTCCAAAATTTAGAAAAAATCTAATAAAAATGTTAAAAAAGACAAAAAATAGAATTTTATAACTTTTTATTTTAACATAGACGTGGTTTTATAATTTTGTTTTAGTTATAAAGCACCGCAAGTTTTAAGTTACAAAATATAGAAAAACATGTTCCGAGGATAAAGGAGAAAGCTGATAACAGAAAAAGATGTTGGAACCCAATATTAATAAACATTTGGACTTGTAATATTGAGTTTGTGTGTGAATAAGAAATGAAGTTTAATAAGCAAATGGGCCTTATAAATTCATTTGAGATTTGGGTTTGAGCCTATGGAAATGAAATGTTCCTATTGGCTATAACTAAAAGTGGAAGTTTAGTGGAAATGTAATTGTCCCACATTGCTCACCAAGGAGAAAAATCTCTTGTATATATATGGTCTTCTCACAATAAGGGTCAACAGCATTGAGGAAGTAAAAGAGCATTATGCAAAAAAACCTACGCGCGCCGCCGCCGTCGCCGGTGCCGGGATCGGGCTCGGGCTCGGGCTCGTTGCTCGTTGCATTTTTTAGTTGGCTTTTAGGGTTCTTGGGCTCTTGGGCTCTTGGGCTCTATATAGCTGGGTGTGGACTTCTTAGTTCCTGCGAAATAATTTTTGCATATTGAAAGGATAAATCTTAGGAAATAAAAGATTGCGTCCAGATAATAACGAAAAATTTCCGAATCCTTTTACTTGTGGAAAAAGGAGAATATTTCGTGAATATTCCTTTTCGCCAAAGCTTAGTCCTTGCGGATCAAGCTGAACCTTCCAGTATAAATAGACGTCCTCTTCTCTCATTCTAAATCATCGAATTCTCGAATACACCAAACACACAGCAAATAATTCTTTCCAGCAAATCCCTCTTGTCTTAATTTCGTAAGTGTCTCGAGAGCTATAGCGTAGTATAATTTTAGTTCGCAGATTTTATTACGGGTGTTGCGTAATAGTCTCATCACGGTTGTATCCTGGGATTCAAAAATCGCACCATACGGTCACACATTACCGGCGATTTACTGAGTTAAGGAAAGAGATCATATCTCGACTCCGTGTTTTCGTCTGTTTTCAATCGGTTTTCTAATTCTCATTTTAATCTCTTACCTTAACATATCGTTTATAATATTGCTATTTTCTATTCGTGATTTCAATCGGATTTTCGCGGTCCTACACTCTTAACTTAATATATCCGCTTCCTGTTTATCGCTTGAATCAGATTGAATATTGCGAAACAGTTTTTATAAACGGTTTTGAGAAAACGAGTTTTTAAAATCGATCTACAAAGTGTCTGCGAAAGTTTCTTAGCTATTTCGTAGAACTTTTGATCTGTTAAAGACGAATCTTCTGAAACGGTTTATGCGGCAGTCATAAACAGGTCCGCAAAACGTGTTAGGGTTTAAGAACGTCATCAAAAGACGATTCTGGGAACGCCTATTTTCAAGTTCTAAGAATACCTATTGGTAATATCTGTGGAAACTCAAAACGAATCCTTTTCGGAAAACGCTGTTCATAGCGACTTAAACGTCTTAATCGCTGATTTGAATCTTGGTTCTCAACACTAACTTCGGTTATTTTCTGTGAACAGATTCAACTATGACTGACGATGATGTCAACATGACTACCAATGGAAGCTCGGGTGAAGTCAGGATGCCAGCGTCGGTAACCGCAGGACTTCAGCCCGACAAGTTCGATGGTTCGAACTTCAAGCAGTGGCAAGAAAGGATGCACTTCTTTCTGTCGTCAATGCAGCTGAGGAAGTACCTCACAGAGGATCCCCCAACAGTGCCAGAAGGAAACAAAGATGCTACGATTCTGGCTACCGTTGAAGCGTGGAAGCACTCAGACTTTTTATGCAAAGGGCACATCAAGAATCGCCTGGTGGACCAGCTGTTTGATGTGTACAGTGAGGTCAAAACTTCCAAAGAACTCTGGGATGCTTTGGAAAAGAAGTACAAGTCGTACAATGTTGGCTCTGGGAAATTCCCTACAGCGAAACTCCTCAAGTTTGAGATGGTGGATTCTCGTCCCATCATGCCACAAGTGCACGAGCTGGAACTAATCTTTCAAGAGATTAGGACTGAAGGAATGAAGCTATGTGAGACATTCACGGTGAACTGCTTCATTGAGAAGTTACCTCCAAGTTGGGCAGACTTCCAGAACTATCTTGCTTACAAGCAAAAGGCCCTGTCTCTAGCAAATCTGATCTCCAGATTGCAGAATGAGTCACTAAAACGTGACAGAGTTGGAAAAGAAGATGGTCAGATCATGACCCATGATGCAAACGTGGCTGAGTACAGGAAAAAGGGCAAAGGCAAACCATCCAACAAGGCTGTGCCTAACAAGTTTCCTCCACGAGACAACACTAGCTTCAAGAAGCAAGGTCAAGCACCCATGAAGAACAAGTTCGATGGAAAGTGCAACTACTGCAACAAGCTTGGACATAAGTCTTCAGAGTGTTGCCGAAAGGCTAAGTCTGAGAACAACCAAGCTCACTTGACTGAAGCAGACCTGTGTGCAATGGTTACAGAGGCTAACTTGGTGGAAGAGAACCCCAAGGCGTGGTGGTATGACACAGGTGCTACCACACACATCTGTATTGACAGAGAGATGTTCAGTACCTATCACAAGTGCAAGACTGATGATCAACTAAAGATGGGAAACATCTCCCAATCCAAGATTGAAGGTACTGGAAAAGTTGTGAAGATGACTTCAGGCATGGAGGTTACTCTCAACAACGTGAAGCATGTTCCAGACATGAGGAAGAACCTGATCTCTGTTACTCTAATGAGCAAGCATGGTTTTGCAATCAACTTAGAGTCTGACCAGCTGATACTTAGGAAGAATGGTGTTTTCATAGGAAAAGGTTATGTTAAGTCAGGATTGATCAAAATGTCTATAATGACAATCCTGAAGAAAAAAAAAAGTTGTACCTGATTCCAAAGATTTAATTAATAAGAATCCAG